TCGCCCCAAACAGCGCCCTGGGCGGTGGTCACGGGGTCTGGCGTCTGTGAATGCCCACAGAGCTGTCTGCCTGAGTGTAGTGGGCTGTGGGGGCGGCCAACAGCCCAAGGGCCCCATGTCGTCTCTCATCTCTGCTCTGTCCCTGCCCTGCCCCCGCGGGACAACCAGCAGGGGACACACCCCCGCCCTGCGGCCTGGGACGGCGCTCCTCACCGAGAGGCTGAGTAACAGGACATCCAGGGGACAGGGCAGGCACGAGATGAGCCTCTCGGCCCACCCGTCCCGCCCACGCAGCCAGGAGGGGCCGGGGGGCCGGGGGAATGCCAGGCTCCCTCCCGGGGGCTGCAGCTCCCGTGGGGCCGACCTGGAGGAGTGACCGCGCTGGAGTGGAGACCAAGTTGGCATAGAGAGAGCTGGGAAACTGCCGCCCGGGACCCCTCACAGCTGGGGCCTGTGCTGGACGCAGCCCAGGGTTCAGGGTCGGCCAGACCCTCCCAGCCACGAGGTTCCTGAATGTCATGCTGTGACAGTCGGAATGATTTTCAAACATGGTAATAACCCCAGTAAGCGAAAGTGTAAGAATGGATAAATAAAATATGATGTTCTTTTACTGAAGAAATGCAGACAGCCGGCCTCCTCGGAGCCGGGCGTGGGAGAACGTGAGCGGGTAGACAGATGTGCTCCTGGCCGTCTGGCACTGACCAAGCTCAGAAAAGCCACCTGGGCCATGAGCGACGGGGAAGGAGACACAGATGCGCCCTGAGCACCTGACGGAGACGTTCACCTGGTCCCTTGATGTGGGAAGGTGAACACGAGGTGAACAAACTGGAATATAAAGCCACAGGTACTCTTGACTGTGTCAGAATGACAGGTGATGACCAGGGAGGGAGAGAAACAGACATGCGGAGGGTGTTTCTGGAATGCCAAATATTAACACATCCGCATGTGGTAGAGTTACCGATGAGTTTCTCATCTTCATTTTTTCCTAGATTTTTGACATTTTAAACAATAAACATACACTCAGGACTCCACCCCAGGACCCCTGCAGAGGGCACCTGGGCCTCCACCTGCTTCCAAGAAGCTCAGACCTGGGCAGGCGGCCCCCTGGGGGCCGCCTCCTCGCCAGCGTGGCGAAGTGGCCACCCTGGGAGCCCATCCACGTCGGTCTCACCTACAGCCCACGGCACCGGGCCCAGCTCGCTCTTTGGCAAAACCTACTTGAAAACCGCCCCTAATTCAAACAAAGAATGACTTTTCTAATCACCGATCACACCCTCCTCAGCCCAGCAGTGACCTGCTGACTCTGTTCTATCCCTGAAGGGGGTGACTGAGAGCTCTTCCCGCCCGGCTCCGCCTTCAGGGTCAGAGGCTAGGGAATAAGAGTGAGCACTGAGGCAGGGGAGGACAAACCTCCTGCGTGGGTGGCTTTCACCACGCTGGAACCCTGGCCTCTGCTTCCCCTCCTGCAGGGGAGGGGGCTGGACGGCAGGGCTGCTCCGCAGAGGCTCCGGCCTCCGGAGGACCCGTCCTTGTCCAGGCAAGGGGAATGCTGAAGGCCCCAGACAGCGGCTGGCTGGAGGTGGGCGTGGGTACAAGCACAGCCCTCTTTCACTGTCAAGAGAAGCCCAAGCTAGTGGGGAAGGGGGAGGGCTACAGTGGTGTCTGAAAGTGAACCCACCCTAATCTACCCAAATTCTTGCTCCGCCTGAGCCTGGTCCAGCAGGCCGGCCTCCGCTCCTGGCTGTGCTTCCCGGTCAGCAGCCCAGCCGGGCAGGCTTCCAGCTGTGGACAGAGGCGAGGCTACCAGGGGCTCCTCTGCCCACTGGGGTGAAGGTGAGGAGGGAGGGAGGAGCGTGTGTGGGCTGAGTGGAGAGCAGGAGATCAGAGGGGAGAGACCACCCCGCCGACACCCTCCCCCGTGAGCCCTGCAGCTTCCTGGGATTGATTCAGGCCACATGCGGGCTCACTGCTTAGAGGCGCCTGGCCTGGATTCAAACCCTGTCTCTTCTCCTGACAAGACGTTCGTCTGGGCAAATCGCTGACCCTGCTTGACCTCGACCTCAGTTCATCTAAAGAAGTGTCTGCGGGAAGGGGCTGCCCAGGGTCTCCACCAGTGAGAGTCTGTGAGCACTGAGCCACAGCAGGTAAAGTCGCAGCCTCTCGCCCGCTCCCTGCCAGGGGCTAAAACATCACGGCTTCACCAAGACCTCAACACAGCACGGTCGGGAGCAACGGCACAGAAAAGCCACGGAGCTGACAGGGACCTCAGAGAGGGCACATCCCGCCCCTTCTTCTTCTAACCAGGAGGGGCCCGGGGGTGGGGGCACCCAAGGAGGCAGTGAGGAACAGAGCCAGGCTGAAACTCAAGTCAGGCTGACTCCCACACACCGACCTCCCCTCACCCCACCCCACCCACCGGGTCTCTTGCCCACAGACAGGGCTTTGCTCGGGGAGTCCCGCCAGCCTCCTCTGCAGGGGCCGCCCCTGGAGTGGGTGCTACCCAGACCCCCGGGGTAGGGGGTACTGAGACAAAGGTGGGGGGGGTCCCAGAATCGGGAGCTAAGAGGAATAGAGCATCAGTCGCCAAACAAGTGAAGGTGTTATGCAAATGACATGCAAAGCACATGTAAATGACCACAGGTCATTGATGAATCAGCCATTGGAGGTTTTCTCTCTTTTGGTAACTGGACCGCGCTGCATACTGCGAACCTGTCTTCTCCCTTGTCTATCTGCCAAGTGAAAGGAAATAAAACTTGTGGTTGACTGACCAAACGGTGCCTCGCTCAGTGAGGGGTCCAGCAGACAGACACGTCAGCAGCTGCAGGGACACACCTGCCGACGCTGGTCCCAGTTTCCTCCCCGGTGCCCAAGGCCGCATTCACGGCTGGCTGGCTCAGAGTGCCAGGGCTTTCGGGCTGAGAGGTGTCCCTCAGATCCAGCAGCCCAGCGACTCCAGGGGGCCCATGGGGAGTGTGACAGGCAGGGGCCTGGAGGGCCCTGCCGCCTCAGCCCATCCTCCATCCAGGAGCCCAGCTTGGGAGGGGGGCCCTCCAGGCACTGGGGCCCAAGCTGCTGAGAGGCCGGGGAGCAGGGAGGGCCCGGCCACAGAGAGACGGCAAGTCAGAGGGTCAGCATCTGGGAGGCCTGCCTGAGGCTCAACCGAGTGAGCTCTGGACATCCAGCTAGTTCAGTCGCTGGCAGCTGAGGGCCTGTTTCATGCCTGATGCCATGCCAGGCTTTCTGTGCAGCGAGAGGCACAGACGGAGTGCCACCGCTGCCCCTCAGGCACTGCTGACCAACCCACGGTGCCTGGACACCTCCCTGGGAACTCGGGGTGGGGCGTGTGTGGGTAGGGGCAGCGCTCGTCTACGTTGCCTTGTGTCGGTCGTGAGGAGACCACAAACACGAACCTGCCGTGTGTGGCTTGCGCACGACATGCCCAACCCAGACTATGTGCTTTATGTTCTCCCAGGAAGAAGGGACAGTGTCCACGTCCCCTTTGGTGGATGAGGAACCCAAGTTTAAGCAGCTGAATGAGTGACTTTCTGAGGTCACACAGCCAGACGTGCACGCTTGGCCTCAGTGCAGCCGCCACCCTCAGAAGGCAGCCCCCCACCCCCAGGTGCACAGAGGCCTGCAGCACGAAAGCTGACCCTTGCGGGGGGCAGCTCGGCAGCTACTGTGCCCCACAGGGCAGGCAGGGCAGGTCTCCCCTCCGTCACAGCAGGGCCAGGTTTCTGCTCACCGGCACACCCGCTCCAGCAGGACACCTGCCTGTCCGTGGGAGCCTCCCAAGGCGGCCGCACCTGGTCAGCAGAGGTCTGGCCACTCGAGTGGGCTGCGGCCAGTGTCTCCTGCACAGCCCTCAGGACCTGGGACCCGGGGTGGCTCAAAGGCCCTGCGGTGGCAAGTGTCCTGGGTGTCCAGGTTGCCTGCCCTGGGAAACCTGGAGGCTCTGCCCCGAACAGCGTCAGGAGACACCTGGGTTGGAGTTTTCCCTTTACCTGCTCCCACTGCAGCTTCCTGATGGGAACATGGTGAAAACAGGAAAAAGAGTAGGTGGAAAAAAGCTTCCCAAAGTTGCACAAACTCAGTGCAAATGGGAGAAACATGGGTGGCTGGGCCTGCCCGGGCAAGGTGCCAACTGAGGCCACAGGCTCCATGTCCCAGATATGGAGGCTGCTGCAGGGACGGCAGGTGCCAGAGCCGGCCACAGCCCCCGAGCCACACGGAGGGGCCTCACGGGCTGTCCCAGCAGGGCCGCTGGCAGTGCGCCCAGGCCCTGCCTGGTGCTGAGATGGTGGCCTGGAAGCCCCGGGGAAGGAGCCCCTGGGGCACCTGCACTCTCGAGAAGTCAGTCCCCATGAGGCCACCCACCCTGGTGCTGCCTGGACACAGACTGAGTCCCCGTGCGGTGACTGGCAAAGACCTGCCAGTTTTGTGCACAAGCAGGGCGGTCGAGAGAAGGCGCTGCACTTGTCCCTCCTCCTGCTGCAACGGAGCTGCCGGCATGGGTGACGGGCAGAGGTGCTCTGACTGCCGGGTCTCCCAGGGGCACCCACAGGGCGCCGCCAGCCAGCACGTGTGTGAGTGTCTGCGTCAGGGCTGCCCTGTCTGGCTGGAGCGCAGCCCTCGGGCTCCTGGTGGGCCACCCTCCACACACGCTCACAGCCCCCGGCAGCCTGCTGCCCCTCCAGTCCCTCACTCCAGGCTGGACAGCTGGCTGTGTCCAGAGAACAGCAGCAGCGTGGCTCAGGGTCCTGGGCACCACCAGGCTGGCACTCCCCCAGCCACCCAGCACCCTCCTGCTTCAGCGACAGCTCAGCCTGGCACTGGAAAGCAGAGGGCAGGGGACAGAGTGTGCGCTGGGGCACAACGGCCCAGAGGGCACTTGGCTTACAGGGGCCCTGTGCCCCACCGTCCAGCCTCTTGGGATGGCCCTCACACTGCCCAGCATGGGCGTGACCGGCACCTCCCGCCTCGGCCGACGGCAGACTCACCGGAGGGGGATCTTGACGCGGAGGTAGCGGTCCACGGCAATGGCCAGCAGGGCCAGGATGGAGCTCTGAGTGAGAATGAGCACAGGGCAGGCGACCATGAGGCAGGTGTGGAAGTAGGTCTGCGGCCCGATGCTGATGAGGATGGCGAGTGGGATGACCAGAGCGCCCACGGCCACGTCAGCCACCGCCAGCGACGCGATGAAGCAGAAGGTGGCGTCCCGCAGCGCCTGGTTCATCTTCACCGCCCAGATCACCAGCACGTTCCCGGGCACGGAGACCAGGGCGATGAGCACCTCCACGCTGATGTAGGCGGCCTGGAAGCCGGAGATGGAGGGCGGCATGGCAGGCGAGGCACATCAGCGGTGGCACCTGGGGTCGGGACGCGCGGGGTGGGAGGTCTGCCCGGCCAGGGGCCCGGGGCTCTGGAGTCCCCTCCCTCGGGAGATGAGCCCCACTTGGCACAGAGGGCGCCTGCCTAGGCTGGCCAGACGGCCCTGCCCTTTCTCGGCCTAATCTCTGTCCCTCCCCTTGTCGTCCCTGGAGGTTCCACTCAGCAACTCAAGATAGCAGTGCTGGGTCCTCCGCTGGCTTTTTTATCAGGTGTGAGGCGGCTCTCGGCATGCACGGTCCCCCACGCCTGCCTCTGCCCACCGAAGCCCACAGCACAGAATACCAGGAGCTCACTAGCTTGCCTGCTGGCCGCTAGGGGGTCCCAGAGGCGGTGCCCAAAGTTGGGGACACCTGGTACCTCCCGGAGCTCGGGGCCGCGCGGGGCAGGGCTGGGCTCCGCGCAGCCTGAGCGCGGCTCATCGTCCTCCGGCTCCGCCGCAGCCCCGGCCTTTCGAGCAATCACATGGTGCGTGGAGGCTGGGCCCGGACGCTTTTAAAGAGGTAGCGCCCTGCTCCGCACCTGGGACGGAGCTGACAGACGCAAGTCCGAGGAACCGAGCCCGGCATCGGCCGTGGCGCGCGGTCCCCTTTCCCCAGCCTGCGCCCACCCATCCTAGCCACCGAGCGCCAGCCTCCCAGCCGCGCCCCAGGCCCCGGTCCAGCTCTACCCGGGACCCTCGCCCACTCCTGCTCCTAGAAAGGGGCTTTCTAGTCGCCGGTTTTAACCCTCTCCTGCGTCTCCCTCGGGGACTCCCGGTGCGGACGGAAACACAGACCTACCCAAGGTCACCAAAGCTGGCAGAACTCACAGCCACCTGAGCGGGTCCGTCCAAACGCGCCCCCCACCCTCGCCAGCCCGACGCCTTCAGCGCCGCCAGTTCGTGGGTGCCCGAGAACCCAGGGCCAGCGAGCCTGGTCCGGGGATGGGGCGGCGGACTCGCCTCGGGCGCCCCCAGCGCGGGAGCTGAGCTACACCGGCCTGCGCACACCGGGGGGCGGGGGCGGTATACCGCGGGACCTCCCTCCTCGCCCTCCGCCTTCTCCCCGCCCCCTACCTACGCTAAACAAAGGGAGGGATTCTGGGTGAGAAAAGCTGGGAAATGGGAGCTTTCCGTTAAGGTCCCCTGTGTGAATCCAGCCTCTGGAGTGGACAGAGGTGCAGCCTCCCTGCGTCCACTCTCCCTTCTCGTCGCCGGGTGCCCGGGAGGCGACCACTGCGCCGGCCGCGCAGCACCCCCTCTGGGCTCCTTCTCACTTCCCGCGCCCCAAGCCTCCGTCCGAGACCCGCTCCCCCAGCCTCCCGGGCCCCGCGCACTCAGGGGCTGGCGTCCTTCCCCACCCGCGCTGCAAGCGCGCTCCCGAGTCACCGCATCCCTTCCCGGCTCTCAGAACTGCCTGTTCGTGATTTCCATTTCACAAATGGGGATACCGAGGCTTCGAGAGGACGTCTCGCTCCCGGGATCCGCTCCATCCTGTGCCGCCTCTGGGGTCCCTTTCTGGACCGCCTCGCACAGCCTGGTCCGCTGGTGGTGTAAATAGCGAGGCCCGGCGGGGAAGCAGGTGCACAGTAAATCCTAACGGAGCCCTGAACCGCGCACTCGCCACTTGGCCTGACCCAGATTTTCTTGGCTGCCTCCCGCTGCGGGTTCGGGTCAGCCGGCTCACTGGCACCTACCGGTATCCGCCCCCCACCTCGGCAGACCCTCGCTCAGAACAGGTGCTTTGCAGACACCCCAACCCGAGAAAACTACACGGATGCTGGGAAAGGGCCCTGAGGGAGCCGAGTCAGGCAGGCCACCCCAGGCCTGCAGATGCGTCGGTCGCCTGAGGCTCCGCCCCGATTGCATCTCAGGACCCCCCAGAGTTCTGCCCAGAGAAGGGGGTCTTTGCTGAACCTTCCTGGGGAGGTGTCAGGGGAGGCGGTAACTTCCATTTCTGCCCCAGACGGCAAAGTCATGGTGTTTGCCTGAGTCCGGCTGCAGAAATGGATCCTTCCCCGGGCTTCTCATGGCGGCCTCAGCGCTCAGGGGCAGCCATGTCCCCCGCGGCAAAGCCTTTGCTCCGTCCCTTGGGCCTCTGCTTTTCCTTGGCCTGAGTTCGTTTGTGGTCAAGACTTTCTCTTGATTCTCACTCAGCTCCCTGCCTCGGGCTCGTCTAGACACAGCTGCAAAGAGCCAGGCAGGCCTGGGCTGGGGCAGGGGGTGGGCGATTGGCTCGCCCTTCACCTCCAGAGGGCGCCCTGCCCCCCAATCCCACCCCCAACCCACAGGTAGTAGATACCTTTGCTTACTACCTGTAGGTGATTTGTTTGTTCCTCAGTTCTAGGTGAAATAACCCCAAACCCTCATACCCTCATCCCTTCTCCCGCCCCCACCGTCCCCTGCCCGTGTGCCAGGACCAGGGCCCCTGGACGACCCAGAGCTGGCCACGTCAGGGAGGGGCGACAGGGCTCCCCGCAGCCTCCCGGGAGGCCTGGGGAGCAGAGGGAGTTTTCCGATTCTCCTCTTTCCCCTCCCAGTAGGCGGGGGGGTTATTTTGGTCCCTGTGTTGTTCTTCAGCACTTCTCTGGGCAGTGTTCAAGGCGGGGCGGGGGCGGTGGGGGAGGCGGAGGACCAGAGCTGGTCAAGGGCAGGCAGATGGAAAGAGAAAGATCTCTGATGGCAAGGAAGCCCCCGGCCTTTCCCCCAGGGCCCCTCGCGCCAAGCCAAGCCCCCCCCATGCAGTGACTTCCTTGGAGTCCCCCCTTTCCAGGCTGGAATCTAGCTCTGCCTCTTTGCCACCCCCCCTCCCCGTCCCCTCTCCTGCGTCAGAGCCTCGTGTGGGGGAGAGGCTGGGTCAGCGGGGTGGGAGACCCAGGCGGACTACTCCCTCCTGTGCCTGTGTGGGGGTGGCCGGGGAGGGAGCGGGCTGGTCCAGGTCTCCCCAGGTGGGCAGCGTGTTTCCAAATCCATGACCAAGCTGCTTCCACATGCTTCTCAACATCATCATTGCTTCCCTCGTTTATCCATTTACTCTGTTCAACACACGGGTGCTGGGCCCCTTCGCCGACGGTGAGCTGCGCCCCGGGGACAGAGAGGCGATAGCGCCACAGTCTCCGGAAAGAGCTGCCCATCAGGTGGGGACCCAAGACCCAGGGGACCCCAGCTGACAGTCTCTCCAGTGAGGGTCAGGACGTCTGTCCCAGCCCCGCCCAGGAGCACTTCCCCTGGCTGCACTTTGCAGGGCCTGACACCCAAGGGCGGGGGCTCTGTACCCAGGTGAGGAGTGGAGCTGTGGGGTGGCGGGGGCTGGGAGGGGGGCCAGGCCCTGGGGACTCAGGCACGCCCCCTGCTTTAGCAGAGCAGCTCTGCTTTGATGTGCCCCACATATGGCTTCTTGGTGCGGGATTTTATTTGAACACAAGATTCTATGAGTTCTGCAGCTTTGGAGACTTGAAAATTTAAGCTTCAAGCTAATCCATCCACTGTACAAATAAGGAGACTGAGACCCAGAGAGGCAACAAAATTGCTCCAACCCATGGGTGCCGTGGGGGCAGAGCCTGGTGCCGAGGGGGGGACAGAGACTCTGGAGGTGGGGGGAGCTGTGCCCAGCTCTTTAGCGCCAGCCCCTTAAACGCTGAACTTGGTGCAGTGGCCTCCGCTCCTCCCACCTCAGGCCGCCGCACCCAGAGCAGCTCAGGGGTGGGGAGAGCTTCCCACTTAACTCCAGCCACACAGCGGGGGGCAGCAGGGCGGAGTTCTTAGTCCCCCGTCATAGGTGAGGGGACCGAGAGCCGAGACTCCCCAGATGTGACGTGTTTTTCTTGGGGTGGCTGGAACCGTGGAACTGACCGGCCTGAGTTCCTGGAGGGGGAGCAGCCCCGTGCATGTGCCCACTCAGTGGCATCTACTAGGGTCCCACCGTGGAGGTGGCACTGTTCAAGGGCCCCTTCCAGGAACGCACAGTGTGGGATGGAGGGCAAGGCTGCCTGGAGCCTGCGCAGAATTGCTCCTGCGCCTGGCGCTGTGGCCCAGGGAGACCGTGCGCTGGACTGGCGCAGGCTGGGGCGGGCCCTGGGCAGGGCAGGAAGCCGTGTGTGGGGAAGGGCTGGTGGCTGGAGCAGGGTTTTGTGGGCAGTAGGAAGAACCACCGGCTGAGCCAGAGAGCAGAGTCTGGGCGCTGGCTGCAGGGTGACAGCCAGGAGCTGCTGGGGCTGCTGGGAGGTTAGAGACTGAACTGGGCCCGGGGCCAATGAAAGCCGGAAGGCCCGGACTCCTCTCTCTGGCACCAGGTGAGCCCAGATGACTCGCAGCTCCTCTCTCAGCCTCGGTTCCCTGAACCGTGTCACCTGTTTGCACGTGCTATTGAGGTTGCTGTCACTGGGCAGGTCTCAGGGTCGGCTCTGCTGGTGAGGGGAGCGGGGAGGGTACGGAACAGGGGCCCGAAGGAGCTGAGAGACGCTCTGGCAAGATGCTTGGATCCTGTGCTGAGCAGGCAAAGCGGGAGCAGCAGGAGGAGCCGCCACAGGCGGCAGTGGGCTTGACCAGAGAAGACGACGGGGCCAACCCAGAAGGAAACCGCGCAGGAGGGAAGGTGGGAAGACAGAGGTCGCAGGGACGCCCGGGCCCCTCGGCCTCCAAGAGGAGCAGCCCAGGGAAGGGAGATGCAAAGGGCCTCTGAGAAAGGCTGACGGGGGTAAGGAGGTCGCTCCTGGACGGGGTGCGGGGATGTGCCCCTGGGGACAGGGTCCAGCAGGTCCAGCAGGCTTTCGGAACAGCCCAGGGGACAGTGCAACCCAGTCGCCTCAGTGCAGAGCCCAGGGGGCTCTGGGTGAGACGAGGTGGCTCAGGGAGAGGGTGCAGACAGAAGATGGACAGGACAGGCTGCACCCCCGACCCCTGCAGGGACGGGGTGCTGAGGGGCTCTGGGCTGGGGAGCTGCCGTGAGCCATCCTCGGGGGCCGTAGGGACTCAGGGACGAGAAGGGGGTCAACGCTGGGGCAGGAGGGGAAACAGGGGCCCAGCACAGACAACGCATTGAAGGCTCGGCCGGGAAGACAGCAGAAGGTGGGCTGGTAGCTGCAGGAGAGAGGGTGGTTTCAGGCAGCAGATCTGAGCGTGTCCACCCCTGAGGGAGGGGCTGCATCAGAGGGAGGAGAAGCTGAGAACGGACCCTGCTAGTCAAGGCCCTGGTGGTAATGATGGCCAGCTGGACACAGAGCTCCAAAGGCTGGCCGACCAGGCCTAGGAGCCCCACACCGTGTTCGAGCCCCGCCCACCCGACCCAGCCCCCACCGACCAAGGCCCGCGGCCCAGCCCTCGCCCTGCCCCTGCCTACAGCGCCAGCCCTGGGTTTCTGGGCTTCTCTCACCCGGACAGCAGCCAAACAGCTTCTCTGGGCGAGCGCCTGCCACCCCACCGCCCACAGACCTGGCTCCACCAGGGACCAGACTCG